TTATAATTCACTGGATTAACAAAGTAACACATTTGTTTGTATGAATAAACTTAACATGTCCGCATTGAAAAATAACTCTAAAGTTGATAAAATACTCATTATAATTCACTGGATTAACAAAGTAACACATTTGTTTGTATGAATAAACTTAACATGTCCACATTGAAAAATAACTCTAAAGTTGATAAAATACTCATTATAATTCACTGGATTAACAAAGTAACACATTTGTTTCTACGAATAAACGAAATCTTATGTTAAAGTTAATTCTAAATATTGAAGTTGACACAATTTTTGGAAAAGTCAAGGCGAGCATTTTGTCATAGAAATATCAAAATATTGTTCAGTTGGAAGACCTCGACCATATATGTAGTTCTTTTTTGGATAGAATGAAGCACATGTAAAGTTTACTTGGAAGTTATAAGAATGACTGACAACCTATGTTTAAATTCAGAATACAGTTGTTACTTTTTTTTCTGTTTTTGTTCTTTAGAATTTTTGCGGAAAAATATACAAGGGTTATCTGCACTAGCCGCCCTAAACTTTGAATATAATGACGATAACTAACTACTCAGTATCACTCACCGCCAACTCTTGGGCTACTCTTGGCTAATAGAGTCTTATAGTGGATCCCAAAGTGCAGTGTGCGTTTTCACGGCAACGGGACATGAACTATAAACCCACGAATTCACAGTACTGACACGCTAACCACTAGGCCATTTGTGAGAAGAAAAAAAATTTGTATTTACAAAGTTTTTTTTTTTTTTACTTTTCTTGCTCTTCTTACCTCAACATTATTTTATGACTAGCAGAGACCCGCAAAACATTTCCGGCCAAATTAATATACAAACGAATTGTAATCGTAGACAACGAAATGTGTAAATCCACTTGTATACAGGCAGTACTTTATAAAACTTTAACTTATGTTCGATAAAGAGATAAATTAACACAGTAACCTGTGTACGTTTTTTTCTTTTACTTTAGTTTAGTTAGGGCTAAACTTTACTGTACATAATACTATCAATAAATAAACTTATACTGTTATTCTACGATCACTGAGCTTTGCGGGTCTTTGCCGCAGGCAGACTGTTTGTCGTCGAGTGAATAATGCGCATGCTCGGTTTTT